CGCCGACCCGGGGCCGTGGTCTCACGAGGGCTCCGGGCTCTCAGCATCCCTGAGCTGGTTTGTGGCGCTTTTTTTACCTAATTTCCTCCAAGAAGAAGGTTTCTGCGGCAACTAAACCCGCGTCGGTGCCTGTGCTTTCTTTTTTAGACACTTCAATAATTTCTCAAGTTTTCATTTAAAAAGAAAAAAACCCAAAACAAACCCACCGCTCACCAAATGCCAGAAGAAGATGCTGACTGCAAGGGTAAAGTCTCCGTGATTCAAATGGAGCAATGAACTGAATTAACTCCAGCTGACACTCCTCTAATCTGCCCGGGACTTATCTGTAGCACAGCCAGGGGAAATATCATTTGCTCCCCTTAGCAATAAACCTTGCAAATTATTATTTGTCCAAAGATTAACATAGGTAACTGAGGATACTGGTAACATTCAAGCTTTTGCTTGGCCTTGACCCTCTAGGAGTCCAATATACTCTTTAAATACAAGCTGATGGGGTTAGGATAGCTGGGGGGAGATTTTCCTGCCTTCTGGATGGGGACTCCCTGGCAAAGTTTGGAGCTGCACACTTGGGCTGAGCACCAGGAACCCCTTCCTTTGGCCACAACTTAGATTTTGGGGAATTTTCAGCCTCAGAGATACTTTGATTTCATGCACACCATTTATTTCCACCTCCCCTGGCCCGCTTTGCTTCAAGCTGCCTCAAAGGTGTGAAAGCTCAAGAGCCAGACCGATGATGAGCAGACTGAGCTGGGGCAGTGGGTCTAAAGCCCCTAGGGTGCAGCAGGGGCTGTTGGATGTGGGATGCATCCCCATCATTCCACATCCAACAGCAATGCCAATATACCCCTCCACAAACATGCAGCGGAGGACAAGAACCCACCTGGGATACTCTAAGGATACTCCACGAGTGCTCCAAGCACCCAGCTGGTGCTGGGGATGGTAGAGGAAGAGCCAGGCCATGGACAGCCTCCCCCCAAACCCTTCAGCATGACAGGAGACAGGCACCAGAAATTGAAATGTAGAGATTTACCAACATCACAGTATTTATTTTCCATGCCAACCTTACAGACCCCTCTCCACACAACTGTCTGATGATAAAGCATTTTTTAAGACATATCTAAAGGTTTTCCCCAGCTGCCCATGCCCGCTGCCTCAGCGCAGCGTCACCAGCTCTTCAGCAGAAGTGGGGTGAATGGCAATGGTGTTGTCCAGGTCGGCCTTGGTGGCCCCCATTTTGATGGCCACAGCAAAGCCCTGCAGTATCTCGTCACAGCCCAGCCCTTGCATGTGCAATCCCACCACCTTTGGGGAAGAAGAGAGAGGCTGGTTGGGACCCAGCACCGGCAGAATCACAGAGTGGTTTGGGTTGGAAGGG